TGTCGTGGCGGACAGTATAAAAATCCTGCGTAAAGATAAGAAACATCGCCAGATATTTTAATACTGATAACCCGCGGGATCCTGCGCAAAGTCCTGCGGGATCCTGTATGAATTTTGATTATTTTTTTCAGTAGGTATCCTAAAAATGTTCTATTACATATGAACAGATGGAGAATTGTCTGTTCTACAAAATGTAGTAACACGGTCGTTAACCGACCGTCAGCACGGAAAAAAACGAGCTCTTGTTGAGAGAATGTGCAGCATACGTCAACATTCTCTCGAAAATTACTTTTGCAAATCTATGTGCTGTCGCGCAAAGAAGATGAAATAAGATTCATTTTGGGGCTGCCATATTCATGGCCTATATATAAAAAGTACTGAGAAATGAAATTTTTTAATTTTCTATTATTCAATCGTGGATAGTCATACAATTATTATGTCTAAAAACATGATCTTATAAAGTAAACATCCCTCTTTCAAATGAGCCGTGAGCCAGCCATACGGATTCGTTAGTTTGTGAGGAAGGTGGAAAATACGAAAATTTGTGAAAATTCACGTTTTTTGGTAACAGGACTGATCCTCAATAGAGTGTTTGGAGTCGGGTTTTTGAAAAAGCCTTTCGAGAAAGAGTTATTGCAGGGTTAGTGGTTATTTTGCTTGCTCTTTCGAATGAGACATGAATAAAAATAAAATTTACCACTGGACAGCCTAGGTCGATTCTCTGGCGAAGACTCTCTTAAGCATTATATTAAAATCTTGCTTGGAGATTGTCATGATTTCAATGAGAGAAACAAAACTAATATACCATAACTAAACAGATGTGCATGTTTCGTTATTAAAATAATTTTCACGAACAGAATATCTCATCGATTCGAGTGACATGTACTCTTAATATCAAAATTAATTAATTCTGTGGCGTGATGTTTCAAACAGCATTTATGACGTTAAAAGTTACTTATGGCATGATTTGATTGGGTCTTAGTATCGTGATTGATCAAAAACCTTGCAGAAATTACTTTGCTGTGAATTGGGGCAAGAAACAAGTCTTGCGATTCTAAGCTGAATGCACAAGAAAGTAGGTTCATGCAGGATTCTTATGATAAAAATATGTAAATAGTTCCATGGATTTTTTTTGAAGCGTCAACTTTTGCCTCAGTATTTGGCTGATGAAGTCCGAATCAGATAGGTTGAAATTATTTACAGTGCATCAAATGCAGAACTTAATTCTGCGTAAAGTAAACTCCTTTCCGTAACAGACGATCGGATGGTCTTTTATTTTGTCTACTAAGTCAAATCTTTGAGGGTGATCTTCTATCGAGCTCAATTTTTTTCTCATTGTTCATCATGCCGTTGAGAAAGTAATTGAAGACAATGCATATTCACACAGCTTTACTAAACTCTCGTGTTCAACAACAGAAAATAAAACTACAGAGTTTATATTTGTACAGATATGAGCTGAAATACTGGCACTTCAGGTCGGTCTCAGAAAGTACTGTTTTGAAAAACCGTTGGGCAAAAGTTTCTTCTTTCGACTGCTCTATAGTCACTCTAGTATGTATCAAAATTCTGCTTCCTTAAGAGATTTATTAGCTAGTTGATGCCCATTAGCCGATTTTCTTTTTGCTAAGGAAGTAGATTTTGTGAGCTCATATTCTTATTTTCATATGAAGCGAAAATAAAAAGTCGACTTTCTTACCGCCAGTCGGAATGGGCTCTGACTTTGTGGAAAATTGTGTTTATCCCTTCAGATCATAATAAGGTTTGAACGAAGTGTCGAGATTGTTTCGTTTTGCAAATGTCAGCAGATAGGTGTCACCGCTGAAGCGCCATATATCTGCTGACGTTTGAAAAACGAAACAATCTCGACTACTAAGACCCAATTAAATCATGCCATAAGTAACTCTTAACGTCATAAATGCTGTTTGAAACATCACGCCACAGAATTAATTAATTTTGATATTAAGAGTACATGTCACTCGAATCGATGAGATATTCTGTTCGTGAAAATTATTTTAATAACGAAACATGCACATCTGTTTAGTTGTAGTATATTAGTTTTGTTTCTCTCATTGAAATCATGGCAATCTCTATAGCTAGTTTCACGGTGGTCACTCATTATTTAAATATTTATTTTGGATTATTTCTCTACGTAATTGGAATGTTCGGAAATGGAATGAACTGTATCATATTTTCTATGAAATGTTTTCGTCGTTCACCCTGTTCATGGTATTTACAAGCGGCATCCATTGCCAATTTGATTGAATTACAAATGTTGTTGCTAACAAAAGTACTTCAGTATTGTTGTACATCTGATTTGGCATCGTTCTCTGACATTTGGTGTAAAATCAAAATATACATGTCACAAGTGGTTGCTTTAATCTCATTATCACTTCTGTGTATCGCTAGTATTGATAGATATTTTTCTTCTTCGAGAACAGTTTCCGTTCGACGATTGAGCTCTCAACACAATGTTCAGCGAGCAATTCCAATTGTAATTCTTGTCTGGCTAGTACATGGTATACCAGTCCTGTTTTTTTATAATATTTCTTCGAACATTTGCACCTGTATTCAAAAAACGTATAATAATTATGTATATTATTTTCTCGTACCCATTTTATTTTCATTTCTACCCATTACCGTTTTATCCATATTTAGTCTATTAACATATAACAATATTCGATTTGGTCGACGATCTATTGCACCGTACGAAGGACAAAGCCGAAAACATTTACGACTAGAATTTCAATTGACATCAATGTTAATGATGCAAGTAATTGCTTTTATTGTTTCATCATTTCCATATGGTGCACAAAGTATATACAGTTTATCAACTGCTAATACAGAGAAAGAAAGTGAGAGACGTACTTGGGAGATTCTAGCAACACAACTTACCACACTAACATGGTACATTACATATGTTAGTCCTTTTTACGTATTTTTACTTTCATCAAAAACTTTCCGTCATCAAGTTAAAAATATTCTGAAGATGGCATTGAAAACAATTGGTTATCAAAGAGAAACAATGGTATCCAACGAGCGAGCAATCAGCACTCAAGGTCAACGTGAAATACCACTAAGACAATACACAATGCAGTGAAACATTTTCTCAGTGTTATGTTGTTTTTTTGTTTTAAATCTATGTTGTCGAATAGTGATAAGGTGCTGGCAATTCAAAAGTTTAGCACATTTTGAAACGAAAAAATTTTAAAATATTGACTTTGTAAAAAGGCAAAAATGAGTGTTAAGAAATAAGCAAAATTTTCATGTTTATTCTTTAATAAAAGTATATAATTTTATTTTTTCTGATTCTTTGTGCAAAAGTGAGTATAAGAAACCACAAGTCTTTATCTATTATTCCGTTTGAGTTATTCAACGATAACGGCCGGCCTTTCTTTTTTTGGAACGGACAGATAGCAGCTATCATTAAGAAAAAGCTGAATATTAAGAGGACAAAGAGACTGACAGTCGGGAAACATTTTTTCCGTTAATCACCAATGTTAGCATTATATAACCTAATAACGGAAAAAAGATGTCATTCAAGTTTATTCTTTTTCGAAATTTTCACTCACCGCACTGAAAAAATAATCAAAATTCATACAGGATCCCGCAGGACTTTGCGCAGGATCCCGCGGGTTATCAGTATTAAAATATCTGGCGATGTTTCTTATCTTTACGCAGGATTTTTATACTGTCCGCCACGACAGAACCCTGCATAGTTTATGTAGGGTCAGCATGGAAAAAATTCTGCGTAAAGGTAAGAAACATCGCAAGACTTTTTGACTTATTCAATCCACAAGTGTTTTCCTACGAGATCTGGCAGACTTTTGTTGGTTGAAAGAAAAAGGATTTTGTTCTTCATGTCTATCCTGCAGTATCCAGCAATCTTTTCTCACCAATGCAGAAGTACTTAACTTTCCAAAAATAAAAAATACAGACAAGTTCACCCTCCACAGACATTGATGAGAAAAGATTGCAGAATGCCGCAAGATAGACATGGCGGACAAAATCCACAAGCTACAAGTTTTTATCATCATGAGAAAATCCTACAGACCTTGCAGGGTTTGCGTATTGAGATATCTTGTGTATTACAAGTGATAACAGGAAGGAAGAAATTCCGCAGACTATGCAAAGTGAAGCATCTGCGAGATATATCGCCTGAACACATGTAAAAGTTCCTGTATGGTGTGCCTAGAGAAGAATCCTCCAGGATCCTGCAGAAAAGAAACTTGAAAAGTGAGCGTGTTAAAGAATCCTGCTCAATTATACTCAGCAACTTGCAGGAAAATTTTCGACGAGGTAACGTGATGTAAAAACTTGCAGTATATATCCAATATTCACAGGATTTTTTCAGATTCCTGCATGTCAACGCAGGAATTCGTAAATTTTTTTTCAGTGGGTAGCAGCATGATGTACTTTTAAATCTAATATTCGCGATAGTAATAGGTTTCATCGTTTTCTTATTTTTCTAAATTTTCATACCAATCGCAAAGATTTGGGTATACAAGTTCGTTTTGAGTCATTAATAATGTGGAGCAAACATTTTTCTACATAATGAGACGTTAGCGAGCTCTTCGCAATGTTTTTCTATGATTTTACACGCGTTTTTGGTAAAGCACTGTATTCGACGGCGGTCTCCTATTGGTTTTACCTCAGTTTTAATCCATTAATCAAATGTAATAATTTACATATGATTGAGTAGAACATCATAGGTTGCATCTAGTTAGATGTTTTTTTATATTTATTAATTCATATTAGTAGAGAAACACAAATTTTAATTTTGTAGCTTTTTGTTAGCCGTTTTCGTTTTGTGCTTAGAAACTGCACATGATTCTCAATGGTCGCTATTCATATCAAAACTTGATAAAAATTTTTTTCTTCTAACCGTCTAAAAATCTTATATTAATTGGGGTACCTTTACTGAGCCTGTATGACTTTCTATCTTCACTTCTGATTTGACAGATCCAGATCCCATAGTCAAAGCAACTTCTAAAACATCCAAAAACTGTTCTTTCACGGTAAATTTTTCCAATTCTTTTTGTAATAGTCGACGAATACCACAAGAATCGATGTGAGCGAAGGTCAGCCGAGACGTTTTGGGGGCATTTGGCTCTACTAGAAGCTAGAGTAAATACCGTCGGTTTTTGACGGAATTTTTTTCAAGAAGTACTTACGTATGTTATCTTCGAAATCTACGCACAAAACAGAATCAGGCAAGGTGTTACTTGACAATTGAGATCAAAGTTCTCACTTTTCGAAAAAAAGCGGCATGCGACGACGCAAAAAATATTTTTTCTTAAAAGCCACCAAGCAACAGGTCACTTTATTACGTCACACCTTGCCATCGAGGAAGGGTGCAACTAAGCAAAATAAAGCTACTTTTCAGTTGAGAAACGTTCTCAGCCCTGTTTGATTGATGTAGGCTAGTTGCAACAGATGATCGATCAGTCGATTTGAGAGTGAAGCTAGAAATGATGACGAGAATAAGATAGTTAAGTTTTCCCCAACTTCACAGCCGTTTTAGAAGCTCGGACTGATTCCATTTAATAGAACATTCTTGTCACTTTGGTAATACAAAACTGGAATTTTATGTTTGTACTATCAATGTTATGTATCCTATTTGTGATATTTATAACATTTTTTTATACCTATACAAGGAAGACAATCATTAATTATAATGTATTTTATTTATCGTTCCAAAACTATGTTTTTCGGTTTTTTTTGGCAAAAAATAAATCACCCATAGTCAGAACAGTTTTTTACCAAAAATAGTCTAGTATCTAAGCAGTGTGCAGTAATTTTGTTATCTCTAATGAAATCAATCAATTTACTTATTTTTCTAACTACTTTTTTGTTTTCTGACAAATTTTACTATTAAATTTTAGATGACTTCAAAAACTTACAACTTCAGAAGAGTAAGCAAGCACTTCTAACCAAATACGTAGAAGATTGCATAAATTTTGAATCCATAACGTTCACATTCAAATCATCTTGTGATAACTTTGACTCTTCTAAACAAACAAATGTTTAAGTAAATAATTTCCAACAAATTTTGAAGCGTTATTTACTTTTAAAACCAATAGTTGATGGATAATGAAAATTGACCCTAAATTTATTTATTTCACAGACACCTTTTAGAGACAAGAGAAGCTTCGAAGTGTATATATACATTGGATGATAGCCAAGAATAACATTTGAGTAGATAACTATCAATAATTTTTTAATTCAGACTTGTTTATAAATTCATACAGTTACAATTAAATGGGAACCGGAAACTTCACCACGAGGAATTTTCAGCGCAGAATATTCAGCACGGAAACTTCACCACCGGAAAAATGAGCACAGGAATGATCAGCACGATGAGTGATCAGCATAGGAATGTTGTGCACCAAGAAAAATCAGCGTAAATATTGAATCTATTGTATAAGTAGTCATTTTGACGCAACATTCTTATTCATCGTTTTATATTATGACAGAACGGTAAACGAGCGATTGCAGAATCCGACATACCTACAAGCAACGATACAGAAGTATTTATCAGTAAAAATTACCGCTAGAAATTCAGCATCTCTACCTTTGTAGCAATTTGTAAAGACAATATCTGGTGTTTCTTGAGTATTAAGAGTATGATACGCAATTTATTCGTCAAAGGACGGGGCGATTATTTGATGGAATCGGCCCCTGCTTGAATTCCATCGAAACACACATGGTTAGATGCAGAATGAACAGGAGAACATTCTAGCCACTCGGCAGACCTTGGAGTTGTTCTAAGAAAAAACTAGGTCGAATTTACTGTAACCAAAGTTCTGCTCTTTTTTGTTCAACGGTGACGATCCTGTGGTTCACACTTGTCCACTAATCACGACGATACATATACCATTCGATAGAGAATTTCTCACGCTACAATAACGTATATATTCCCTTGACTTTAGTCTAGGGTCTTACGAAATGGTTGTCTGTGTGTCTGTGTGTCCGTGTATCTGTGTGTGCGCAAAATACGGAAAAATGGGTGTTAGATATTCTATGGATAAGTGAATCACAAGAGAGAGAAGGGTAGAAAATTATTTTTTACAGAAGGGAGAAAATATTCAAAGAGATGATCTGAAGTATCTACCGCTGCAGAGAGACAAAAAGCTAAGCAAACGTTTTCTGTAGGCCGGTGATAGATGTCGCCAGATAGCAGTCAACTGTCATAATCCAAGGAAACTCGGCTTAGCCGAGTGTCCAGAAAACCTTTTAGCTTTATTTACATTTAATGTAAATAAAGCTAAAAGGTTTTCTGGACACTCTTTACGGATCCTAAGAAGATTGGAACTATTTTTAATCGATTCGCTATGATAGGTTCTCTATACACTGTAAGTTACAGTATGCGTACTACGCATACTGTACCAACTAATAGATGGTTTTCCCTTGGAAGCAGAGTTCACAGCGTTTCTCAGCTATAATGGCTGCGAACGCCGACCGAAGGGACGCGTGAGCAGTGCTATGAGTTCAGATAAATTTTTAGACTTTTTGCCTTGTATATTTACGAACCTTACACATGAAAAAAGAAAAACATCAAGAAGATAGCTTAGCGAGCGCCGACCGAAGGGAGGCGTGAGCATTGTCTTCGATTTAAAAATCACGGAAGCGCGTTCAGTAGCGCAGATCCAGGTTATTAATGTCAAGGGATCGAGCGAGTGGAGACGAGCGTTACCTTGTTGTTATAAGCTGTTTATTTGAAAGAGAAAACATTTGAATGTTTTTCCTCTATCGTCGAAAGAGAGACATGCCGGATCATTATTGTTGTATAGAGAAACACGATCGATATGTTGTGATCTCGAATAAAGAATCTGATACGAAAAATGAGGCAGGCGATAATATAGGAAAGTCCAGGCACACACATAGAAAAAAGAAGTTTGTTTAGGTAGAAACGAAATCAAATGACAAAGAGAGAGAGAAACAAAAGCGCTTTAGAACAAAAGAACACGTTATTCCTCTTCTATAAATATTTTTGTTGTAGAAATATAGTTTATGACTGCACGATGTGTGTATGAAAAATGTTCTTTCGAAAGAGATACGTTTAATAAAAGAAGATTCTCACTACTATATATATATGAA